CTGGTCCTCACCAGCTATTTTGCTGACGGCTAATTTAATAACAAAAAACTACAATATCCTTTAAATCACAAGACCACCATTAAATTGTAAGTTTATTTTCAATTCAAATCTTTGTTTTACTGGTTAATGGGGTTTAGATTATTTTTTTCAGGATGTTATCAATAAAAAATACGCTCTAAATGGTCAATATATTTAGTTTATTTCTGCAGTTACACTAAACTCCCCCTAGGGGGCACGCGTCCCCCTTTGGGAGCTATTCATACAGATCAGCTCAGATTAAAGGACATTTTAAACTGTCAGTAAACCATTTTTTTTTCTTTTATTAAACCCATACTACCGAATTAGAAATGGTTTTGATCTATGAAATATATTTATCAAAAAAAAAAGTTTACTGGGTGATTTGGTAATATAATTATAAATCTTTGAGTTTTAATTACTATAAGCAGAAAATTGTCCTAATTAACAGAAATAAAGGCTTAAAAACATCAGGCTTTAAATTTCAGATCTATAATTTCTCAGCATCAGAACCTCAACTTATCAGACCCTTCCTTGGTGCATCCTAGTTAGAAATAAAGACCTTTATTAACACATAGAAAGCCCAGAGCAGAAATGGACATTAGCAAACTATTCAGTTATTATTAAGAAAGGGTTCTATACAGAACTTTTAATGGTTTAGGTGAAAACATCCAGTGTTGAATGTTTTGAAGATCTAGAAAATGAGTCCCCAATGAATAAATTGTATTATCACTGGTGACAGATAGGATGAAATGATTTACCTTTACCTGAAGATCCAAATAGGGGCTGAAGAACAATGAAGATTCAGCCCAGAAAAAAATTAAATAATATATTGTTTTAAATTGATGTTTTAATTCTACCTTCTCCCTGTAAACATAAATATATCATCCTCCTTTCTAAACTTTTGATTAAACATCTATTCTCTATGTTTTCCTCACACGGTTAGCAATGGCAGCACTTCTAATAGACTTAGTTAACTTCCGAACATGTTACAGCCCGAAAATGTAAAGGATCTCATTTTTATTTCACAATCATTTTAAACCTTATAGTTGTTTATTGTTGTATCCATGGAGACCATACTTGTTCTCTGACAGAAGGGGACAGATGCCACCTTGTTTTTAAAGGATTGGAAACCAAATTCACCAAAAATTATCCTTTGAAACCAGAAACTTTAAAATCAAACATTTTAAACACCTTTGATCTTCCATTAAATTAAAAAATATATTCAACCTTTTAAAAAGCCTTACAGTTGTTTAATACATTCTACTAAGGTATCCATGGAGACCTATATGTTATATGTACCACAGGATTTAAAAAAAAAAAAAAACCTCCCCTGCAATGTATTTAACAAGTTATTTTATCCTAAAACAATTTATTTTGTATTTTTTTAACCATTTCCACAAGAACTTAATCAAAAATTATCCGCTGAAACCAAAATGTGTTTTTGTTTTATATCATTACATCTCTGTTATCATTCCTCCTATTTCAAACCAATAAATAATAAATTTTATACAAAATACCACTTAAAAACTAAAAAAAAAAACACTGATTAAAAACTTATTTCCTAAACACATTTACTAAACTAAACAACTTGAGAATCTTCATGTGTTATTTCTTTCTTCAGTTGTTTATCGGGTTAAATTCAGTCAACTTCCAAAATACTAAAAATTATAACTTTAATTAAACTTTTATTAGAAAAAAAAGAGTTTGGCTTGATAATACATTATGTTAAATGTCCTTTAAATATATTTGAATATTTATTTAATGTAATTTCACCAACATACCCATGTAGAGCAAACGGCATTTTTTTTTTAAATCATAGAGCTAGCGCATCTAGTTTTCAAACATTTCACATCTAAATCAACAAAGGTGTTTCTCTCAAACAGAAATACAATTTATTTTCAAATCATTAAATCGCTCTTAACATTCCTGACGAATCCAGTCGACTAAAAACATTTAATCTCAGAGTAAGGTGACCAGATTTCTGCAATCTAATCTGGGGACATTTCCAGCTCCAAGATAAAAATAAATACTTTTTAAGAAAATTAAAATAGTAAACAGGGGACAGTGATGTTTTCATCCATTTTTAAATATTTATTCATATTTAAACAAAAATCAACTGTGAAATCCAGGCGCCTTTCATTTCCTGAGATAAATAATAATCATTAGATAGTGTTTATTAGTGTTATCTGGTCATTCAGTCTTCTGTGTCTTCCTCCCTTGTGAGCTACGTGTTCAGGAACCAGAGGGCCAGTTTGCAACAATACAGAGTTTGTGGGAATTTTCCTCTTTTTTCCATTCCGAAAACTTTTTTTTCTACATAATGATAACTATAAAATGAAATGGCCTCCAGTTGTTAATACTGTATCCTGAACAGCTGCAGTGCATAGGGTAGCCTTCAGCAGCCTGGCTTAAATCTGTGTCACTATTAAAAAAGTTATGTTAGATTTTATATTCAGATTAAATTACAACTATTAAAACACATCTATAAATCTGGATCATTCTCATTAGCAGCTTGAAGCAGCCACACCAGAAATACATGTTTTGTCATAACACGTATAGATGAATAAAAAATAAGTTCTAAGGGGCCAGAATGAAAAAAATGTGTCCTTTAATAAAGTTATAGTGAAACCTAACAGGAATATATTTTCACAATTCTATTTTCTATTCATAGATACAGCTGTGCTTTTTGTTTTAAATAAGCTTTTTATTTTTCTATTTTGATAGGATGTAAAGATTATATGATCCTATTTATCCCTGTTACAAAAATCCCCAACAAAAAGAAAATACTTGGGGAGAAACTGAGCATATGCTGGATGCTGATGGGGATTTTTTGAATATGTCTTATTAAATTAAGCGTTCATTTCCACATGTTTTGTTTCTAATTTAATAATAATGTCGTACATGCTCTCCTCGAGCTCAGAGGAAGTTGGAGCGCAGCAAGACGGGAGGATTAGCGGAGGCTGTAGGCTTTGCTTTGCACAAGCGATCTGGAGCGCAGCAGGGCGGTGACGTAGGATGTGGGATTTCGGGGTAACACAGGGTAGCTGGGTCCAGCTGGCTGTTATAACAAACTTCCTCATCTGTCTTAAAAAGGGTGCACTCGCCTTCTCATCTATACTTTAACAGCTGTTCCTGTGCGCAGGATGTTCGTACGCTCTTTCTACCATAATAATAAATACAGTATTAGTGTTGCGCCAATGCCATTTTTTGGTCCTGATACCTGTGCAGTATTGACCTTAACCGATACCATACCAGATACCATCTGTTTGAAGTTGGTGTGTGGGTGTAAAAATGAACAGCTTCATACTACTTGGATGTAAAATAATTGTCCTCATGGCTTTGTCAAGCTGCTGCCTACCTTTGTGAAGCAGAAAAAGGACTAATACAAAGTGAATCCAGTAGAACTTTTTATTGCCTACCTGGAATGGGTGACAATAGCTGAATAAACTTTTGGCTCTCAAAATGGTATCGGTGTCCTATTTGTTGGTACTCACCGGTACCGATGAGTACAACACTAGTTAATATGCAATATTTTTCCCCCCATTCACAAAACAATCAAATCGGGGACATTTCCAGGGACCGCTTTAGCTGGGGACAGGTGGTCGAAAATGGGGACTGTCCCCAGGAATCGGGGACATATGGTCACCCTACCCGGCAGCTCCATAGTCTTTCTGACTATGGAGCTGCCAATTACCAGAGTGGGCTTTTCAGTGGGTGCGTCACTGAGCGGGGAAAATCGGTTTGAAACATGGATGGGTTGGTGGTGACCAGTGGGCAGAGAGCCACAACTACGCATTCTGTGTACTGTTACCCACTCGCCTGGCTGCTCAGGCACTTTTGGAGGACAGCTACGTTGGGGGCCTACTTTAACTCCTGGATGTTCAACAGCCTGAAGCCTGGATTCTGACTCTGACACCCTCGCCTCCACAGCTAAAACAATACCTCACTTATTCACATACCATTATCACTAGGAGGCAGAGGAATAACTGAACATCTGACACAGAGAGCAGGAGAGGAAGAAATAAAAGTTGGAAAAGAGTCAGAGGAGGGAGAGAGAAAAGCCATAGCGATGCTAAGCTAATGCTAGCCTAGGCTAGCAACTGCTTACTACCACAAATAAAACATTGTGAAAGTGACAAGTGCAAAGTAGAGAAGTGCAGCAGAAGGTGCTATTTTTTAATGTGTTTCTGGACAATTAGTTTTACTTAGATAAAGAGATATTGTTAGGTTTCTGTTTCTGTTATGTTTTTCTTTTGAGTATCCTGTCTTTCCTTATCATTTTGTTATTTCCAGTCTTCCAGGCTTTTATTTGTTGCTCTCTGCTGCCCTCTTGTGTTCTCCTTCTTCCCTAGCTCTTTCCCTCTTGTTCTGTGCACACCTGTTTCCTGTTTCCTCATTAGCCCCCTCTTTGTCTCAGTCTCCTTTAAAAGCCCTCTCTCTTCAGTTCCCCTTTGCTGGGTCCTCGTCAAACACCGTATGCTTGCTCCAACTCCTTCTCTCTGTGCCTACCTCGTCTTGTTTGTGATTCCCCTGATTTCCCCATGGTTCTGGTACTGTAGACTTGTTTTCATGTTTTTGATTTTTGGACTTCTGGTTTCTTGTTTGTTTGGACTTGTTTTCCTTGGATTTTTTGGATAACTAGCCTCTGATTTCTGTCAAGTCTTTATTAAATCCACAACAGATTCACCTCTGCCTCTCTGCCTCTGCTTTTGGGTCTACTCACTCAATAACCAAATCCTGACAGATATCACAGGAAAAAAATAGTCAATCAAGTTTATTTGTATAGCCCTTTACAATAGCCAAATGGTACCCAAAGTGCTTTACAACAAAGCCATAAAACAATACATAACACATACAAAACATACAGATACAATTAAAAGTGCTGTAGTGGTGCAGCGCTGCAGGACATTAAAAGCCTTCCAGACGTGCATAGAAAGGAGCACACAGAAAGAGGACATCTAAGAGACAGTATTATCCTAGTCAGAATTAAATGCTAATTTAAAAAGGTGGGTTTTAAGCTTTTTTTTTTTTTTTAAAAAGGCTGAGGTCAGTAGTGGTGCGGATGTCAGGGGGTAGTTTGTTCCACAGTCTGGGAGCAGCGACGGCAAAAGAACGATCGCCCCACTGTTTGAGTCTTGAACTAGGGACCTCTAACAGAAGCTGACCCGAGGAGCGTAAAGCTCTGCCACAATTTCGAAAAGTTAAAAAGAACAAAAGAACTTAATTCAGACGGAGATAGACTGAACAGCAACAACACTGTTCAACAGGCCAAACAGGAAGTGAACACGATACGTCTCACCAACAGCAGCAGTAGCAACCTCCCGTTCTGTTCAAGTCAGTTCATCTGTTCAGCCTTTGTTTAGCTCATGCCCATCTTATCACTTAAATTGCCGTCCTTCCATGCAATTCCATGTCAGGTTTGAGACCTTTAGTTTGTACATTTTCTTGTACTTTATTAAATACTTCAACTAAACTTTCTGTCTTCATCTGCCTGTCTACATATGAGTCTATCCAAACTCAACATTTCCTTACACAATAACTATATTAAAACTTCCATAACCAAAGCCATCAATGTGTACTTAGCAATGAGAGTTGGCAAAAACAGTAAAGAAGGAGATCAGAAATATTTAGCACTTTTAATGCAGCTTCAAAACTATTTTGAAGGCCTCATGATGGAATGAAAGAGGATATTATGAAACTAAGTCTGATTAGTTGGATTTGCTGACCCATAATTCCTTCCTTCCAAGTTCTCTAGATGTTCATCAGGATCCTGAAAATGAAAATAATATGCCTGAAATCATTAAAAATGTTTTTGCTGGCAGAATCTGGCAATCTCAAAATCTCATATCAATCACAATAAAACAGAATTAGCATCAGTAAGTACACTAGCACCAGTAAGGTGAATAATGACTTTAACATGATAGGTAGCATTTTTAATTGGTTTACCTGACATGAGGCTAGGTTCTGAAGCTCATGGTTTCTGGTTTTTGTTAGTGCTGTAACATATACATGAAGGTAAGGATTTAATGTATGTATATATATATATATATATATATATATATATATATATATATATATATATATATATAATATGTGTGTGTGTGTTAAAATGTAAGTGTCTTTCTCTGTATGTACATCTTTTTATGAAAAAATAAAGACATCCAGCACCAAGCACCACAAAAACCACACATATACCGATTTAGATGTAATGATTCCTACCTGTTAATCAGAAAAAATAAATGTAAAGTTTAAAATAAAGATATAAAGGTTAAAATATTTATCATGATGTAATACATTTAAAATGAGCTTAAAGGAAAACAAAGAACATGAAGCACATTTCTAAAGAAGCTCATCAATGATGTGAAATTATTTTATATTTTAATGTTAGAGTACTTTAAAGAGTAATCTCTTACAAGAGAGTTAAAATGCTGTTAAATAGAAATATATTCAGAGAAACACATCTATGTTATTATTATTTTTTCCAGAATATTTTTTCCCAGCATATATTATGCTATTATTTTCCCTGCATATATCACCTGCAGAAGTAGTTGAGGAATGACATGGATGCCATACTAAGCTTAGAGGTGTCATCTCCAAACTAACAGAGTTTTGTGCCCGACAGCTGTAGTTTGAAATATCCTCCCTCTGGATCTCTATCTGCAAAGTGAGGATGGAGATATTTGGGTTGCTGATGTTGCTGATAATGATGTCTCCATAGTACCAGGTCAGGTTTAAGTCAGGTCCATTCTTCACAGAACACTTTGCAGCACAAAACCTGCGGGCTGGTTGAGCCACGTTGGTGATGTTGGGCGTAGAGACAGGATCTACAGAGAAAGATGATTTTCAGCTGTAATTTGAAAGTTATAGTGGATATCTATGAGTGACTAAACATCTGATACCACAATGTGCAGAAAAGAGAAGGAGCATAAGGTTCAGACAAATAATTAGACGAAAGTAGAGATTAAGAAGCCATTTTAGAATATATATATTCATGAAATATAAGAAATTATAAATTTTTATTCCCAGCTGGGGTAAATGGATAACAAACTGGTATCCTTGTTCCTCAGGAAGGAAACACATTGATGTTCTGGAAAGAAATGTCTTGATTTTGCTTCTTTTGGTTTGTTTCTTTCTTTGCCATATAAACTAAAAAACAGCTAAACTGTAAACAGAAGAAATCTGCAGTTGTGCAATATTGACATCAAGAAAATCAGTCATGAAATTATTGTTTCATTCATTTAATTTATAAAATCTATCATTTTTACAATATTGTTGTTATTTTGATCAGTGGTCTTAAACTCAAACCCATGAGGTCTGATGTCCTGCAACTTTTAGATGTGTTTGTTTCAACACACCTGAACCCAATATGAGCTCGTTAGCAGATTAAGGTTTTAAGATTTGGAAAGATTGCTAGATAAGCTCAGGCACTACCTTCCATATTTACTTCCGTAAACACAGAGCACGCTGGCTTGTGACGTCATCATGTCCTCTACTGCGCATGCACAACACTTAAGCTGTATGACTGCAGTATACACAGGAGATCACACACAAGTCGCATATATTTGGAAATGTGAACGGCAAAGCAAAAAAATCGGATTTCACAAAAAAAAAAATTGGAATTGAGCATCAGGCCTGCAGTGTGAACGTAGCATTAGATTATGAATAATTCAGAATTGTACTTCCTAGACCTTCCTCCTTCACTTTTCGCTCGGGGAACAGTAAGAACACTGAACAGCTGAACCTCGCTGTTATAAAACCTAAAAAATATGAAGGTGTGTAAATTATTTTGTGTCACAAATGTAGAGAAACATTATATTTTTGTAAAACTCTGTGAGGTGAGCTATATCTATATGTCCTGTCATACAAAAGATTATAGGAAACCATATAGCTCCTATGCGGTGGATAGAAATATTAGGAAGTACGTATTTTAAAATAATGGACTCTAGGAAACATTTTTCTTCCTCTTCCAAATTGTCAGTACAATTCAGACAGCACTTACCATAAACTATGACCTGATGTTTTCGTCCAATATGTAGATAATTATTCATTTTTAATTCGGAGCAGTAAAATCCACGTTGGTTGTTAGTTACTTGAATAATGGTCAGATCCAAGTTGGTTTTATTGAGAAAGAAATTGTTGAAGCCATCTCCATATCTAATAACAGAGTTCTGAAAACTGGCAAACTCTTTTCCATTAAAATCTGAACCGTTCGTCCAGTTGGCAGAATGGCCCATCTCAGTTGTTTGCAGTCCAGACTTCAGAGTTACATTGTGTCCCAGCTGACAATTATAAGTTAAAAGGTCATTTCCTGTAAAAGTCAGAAATGTGATGTTATCAACTTTTATGTGAGAAATATACCAACATATATACAACAGATGTAAAGGTTAAAGATGGTAAGAAACTGTTCTGAGGATCAACCATCACAACTCTTGCATTTTCATTTAGTTATGCAGAAAGCCACAGGAAAAGGCAGAAGAGTCTTTGATCAGGAAACAGAAACTTGGTCGATGAAATGTAATTACAAACAAACGACAGAACTAGGGAAATAGGCTTGAATTGGTAGGTTGTGCTCAGATATAAAGGTCAAGCAAATAGAGCAACATGCAGTCTGAGAATCAAGGGGAAATTTAAGAGACTGCAGTCAGGAAGCCGAAGCACATTCCTGTAGAGATCAGGAGCCGGGAGAGAATACCCAGAGTGGGCAAGGTGGAACAGGGAAGTCCAAGAGGCAGAAATATGATTGAGATCAGGCAGGAAGGCAAGGAAATAATGTTGGACATCTACCCACACAATGACTTTTGATAATCTGGTAATTCTTGCCAGCAGGAGAGTAATAATAAAGCCAGGGTCAAAGCTGAGATGAATGAGGTGTGATTAGGATGCAGCAGAGGAGGTACAAATGGAAATGAATTGCTGCAATGCATAGAGGAGCAAGAACAGACAGGAAAGATCATGACTGCACTTTATTTTTTTGCTCATCAGAATGTCTGTTTGTATTTTAATTTCCTTACCTGTCACAAACAGGCTGACATTAGGATAGATCTGTCCCTTGTCTGTTGTAATACACCCCGTAAATGTTCCATTGTCATTAAGAATGAGGTTTGAAATCGTGATTGATGCAGTTTTTACATTAGTTTGAAGCCGGTTTTTAAATCTGGTTCCTTTGAATTTAATTATTCCTTCTTCCACACGAATAACTTCTTCAGTTTCATTGTTTTGTGTAAAGTTCCAACGGTAGGAAAATACATGTACAGTAGTTTTAGCATGAAATGTAGCAGTCTGACCCTCCTGCTTTACAATAACAGATGCTAGACAACAGAGTAAACCTGCAGAAAAAAAAAATGTAGTGTATTTTGAAAGACATTGTTGGAAGTTCTTTCTGAAACAAAATTCCACCATTAAACTGTGGCTGTCTCAGATATCACAAACAACAAACAAACAAATGTAAACATGACTAAGTTTAGAGTAGTTAAATGTAGCAGTCTCCCCCTCCTGCTTAGAAACAGCAGATGCTGTTTAGAAACAGCAGAGTAAAAAAAAAAACAAATGTAGTGTATTTTGAAAAACGTTGTTGGAAGGTGTTTCTGAAAGGAAGCTCCTCCATTAAACTGTGGCTGTCTCAGATATCACCAACAACAAACATACAAATGTAAACAATAATAAACACAACTTCCTCCAATTTGTTGCACAAACTGTCTACTGCAAATAATCAACCCTGTTATCCAGGTTAGAGGTGTTACTTGAATGAAGCTGAGGTCTGTTTACTGCATGTCAGCTCTAAGCATCTCTAGATCCTACATAGGGAAGTGATAGTCTGCAGGTTTATGCTGCATAATCAGTGATATGACAAGTGAATTCTCATATTAAGAGCTGTAAAACTAAGTTTAGAGTCTTGTCAGGCTAAAAGAAGCAAAAGATTCAACAAAAAAAGTTTATTTAAAAAAATAACATCTAGATAAAATAATACTTAGCATAAAAAACAGAACCAGCTTCATTTTCTTCAGCTCCCTGTAAGTCAAACATATTGTTAGGACTCTTAAACTTTAGGATTTATCCCAACCAATAAGTACCTATGGCGTTTCCACACTAATTCCTCTTTTATTGGAATTCAACAATTATACAGGGTCAAATTGTTTATGATTTCCCTTATTTGTTTTTTGAAATAGTGTGATTTCAACATGAAAATGTTTAGAATATGTGGTTTAAATAATACATTTTTTCCCTCCATTTCATGAATGATGAAAGTTAATTTTATCTTATCTTCCAAATATAAAGTTTTCACTAAAGCTGTTGCACACTGGCAAGGCTGTACAAAGTTGTGTTGGATGCTTAGAAAAATGGCTTGTTGAAAAATCATTGCTTAAACTGTAACTTGTTTTTATTAAAACCTTCAGAGCTCTTTTGCAATATAGATTGTCGTAATCTCATCTTTGCAAAAACAAATAAAGTGCTGACAGAATAATTACCACTGATCTCCATTTATTTAATTGAAGTAGCAGAGTTGAATTTCTTTTTCCTGCAACAATTATTATAATTCATAGTAATAGTTTATACGTTTTTGCTCATCCTGTCTTACAAAGTATTCAGAAATTTAAAAAAGGGTTTAAGTTCAGGGGCGGAGCTAGATGGGGGGCAGGTGGCCATGGCCACCCTTAGCCAATCATTGGCCCATATAATGTGCTATATGCAATATAGCACATTATATGGGCATATAGCACTATATATAGCTGCATATAGCAGCTAAATGCCTATATAATGTGCTATATGCCTACATGGTGTACATCAGTGCCGCATCTTTTAAAGTGGACAGATTGTTAATTATTGATCAAACACATGCCTGTTTATCTGATGTACTGAAATAACAGTGAAATGGAGTTTTATACTTTTAATGCTTGATTTTATTGACAGAGCAATTTGTTTTGTATTTTGATTATTAGACTCTGGATGATCTAAGACAACACTGATGTGTAGTATCATATATCATCATCTCTTACATGCCTGGATTTTACATCATGGGAATGAAAGAGACCCTCAGTGACGGTAAAGATTAACAAGTCATCACTAACATAAGTTTCAATAACAATCTTTTAACATTTCGGTCAGGGTTTTTTAACACATTTCTTCAACTCAACAAAATTTCTTAGCACCTGACTTACCCACAGTTTCTGCTTCCTCTTCCTTGGTTCCTGCTTCCTCTTCTTGAAGTTTATTCTCCTTTTAGACAAATGGATATTTGCATTATCTATGGAAAAAAAACATATCTTGGAAGAACTAGAAAGTAGAAGCAGCCAACTGGGAGCTCAGACAAACAGAAAGAAAAATTTCTCCATGTTTCGAAGTGATTTAGACCCCTGAGCTTAAAGCAAAGAGCAAAGTCCCTTAAAACAAAGCTAACAAAAGCTTCTCTTGGTAAAGTGTAAAAATGTAATTACGCTTGGTATGATAATTAGCCATAAAAGCAATTTTGTTTTCCCACCTGGAACTTAAAGAAAAAAAAAATATACCAATGAACCATAAGAAATTCCCATAGACCAAACTGGTAACAATCATGTATATAAAAAAAAAAAAGATGTCTTACCTTATAACAGACAGACAGTCCTGAATTCAATTAGCTTCAGTTACAAAATATTTGATAAAAATCTTTTACAAATGGATTGAAATATGTGATTATTTTAATTTTCCAAACTGAGAAATTCTCTTACATAAGATATTTGTTTTTCTTACTGATCAGTTTTCTTATTAAATATCATAAATTCATTAAAAATAAAAGCAGTTTTGGATTTGAATAGACGTACCTGTATCTTCTTCTTCTTACTGCCTTCCTCATGTCAGTCGCTGTTAGAGTGATAACTATCCTGTGTTTCAACCAGAAGGGTCATAAACTTTTATGACCTCCTGTAGGTCATGAGGCAGAATCACACGGCTGTGTGACTTCCATCCAGCCAGTTGGTCAATTCACACTATCTTGTTACCTGCATCCTCCCAGACAATGATTACTGGCTCTTCTGTTTTACACCCGCCTGTTTGATGTTGTAAACTGTTAATAAAAGGCTTTGCTATGAAGGGATCGGGGTGAGAAGGTGATGGTAATCCTACCAGGATCTTCTCTCCACCCGGCACACACTGACGTCACAAAACCCTGTCTCTGTGTTGATCATTTTCCTTTTAATCTTTTAAACTCACATTTCTCTGGATTAAAAACCCAACATTTTTGGTGCTGAAACTCCGGGAGTCAAGATCCAATTGTCCAGGACCGTGCGGGACCAAGGCCAAGAAACTGTCAACAGCCGTCCACCCTTTGCCGGACGGAGCCAATAGGTTGGTCCAGCCCTGCCCTGGACATCCTGGTGACGACTCAAGCTGAGGACTGATCTGCACAGAAATGGTACGCCTAAAGTTTTTTATCAACAGTTGGTCTGGGACCACGTGAAAGCTATAACTAGTTGTAGTCGCTAGAATATTTGACAAACAGGGTTTGTTGTGATAGATCTGGGATCGGTATTCTGTGCGTTTGGGTCTGGGACCCTCTGTGTGAAAGCTATAACTAGTTGTAGTCGCTAGAATATTTGACAAACAGGGTTTGTTGTGAGAGATCTGGGATCGGTATTCTATGCGTTTGGGTCTGGGACTCTGTGTTGTTCTCGAGATAGTAAGGTTTGCAGCTGCCGCAGCAGTGCGAAGGCCTGGAGTTGGAGACTCCAAAGTGTACACGTGTTCAAGCTATAACTGGTTGTAGTCGCAAGAATATTTGACAAACAGGGGTTTGTTGTGATAGATCTGGGATCGGTATTCTATGCGTTTGGGTCTGGGACCCTCTGTGTGAAAGCTATAACTAGTTGTAGTCGCTAGAATATTTGACAAACAGGGTTTGTTGTGGGAGATCTGGGATCGGTATTCTATGCGTTTTGGGTCAGGGACCCTCTGTGTGAAAGCTATAACTAGTTGTAGTCACTAGAATATTTGACAAACAGGGTTTGTTGTGATAGATCTGGGATCGGTATTCTATGCGTTTGGGTCTGGGACCCTCTGTGTGAAAGCTATAACTAGTTGTAGTTGCAAGAATATTTGACGAAACCAAGTTTTGTTTACAAGTCTGGGACCAGGGTATTCTGTGCGTTTGGGTCTGGGACCCTCTGTGTTCAAGCTATAACTGGTTGTAGTTGCAAGAATATTTGACGAAACCAAGTTTTGTTTACAGGTCTGGGACCTGGGTATTCTGTGCATTCGAGTCTGGGACTCTATGTTGGTTAAAAAATAAAAAATATTAGGCCTTAGGTGTGTGTGACTGTGTGAAAGTGTATGAGGAAACAATCGAACCGCTGTGTACTGGACTAAATTCTTTAAAAATGGGACAAGGCAGTAGTAAGAAGGAAATGCCAGATGATGTTAGATGGATGGTGGCGTGTTGTGGTGGTGACCCAGAGTTTGCCAGAAAGTGGATTGAGAAGGAGGACTGGGATGGAAAGTTGAGAGTTGAGCCGCTGACAAAGATTCAGCAGAAGGTGGAGATGAAGTTGGTGCATAAATCAAAAAGAAAACAAGCTAAATACAGAAAAGAATTAGAAGAGTTAAATAAGTGGATTATGCAAGCAAAAAATAGGGAAAGCCAAATACAACAGAAGAAGGATAGAAAGACAGCTACAATTGCTGCTGTAAAAGTTAAAGCTGATGAAGAAACTGTTGTATCCCGTATGCTTCCTCAATATCCTGACCCTAATCAAATTCAAGGGGGTGATGGGGTTCAAGCAGTGGCATCAGCTGCGCAGGAAGGTGGAGATAAAACCCATCACGGTGAATATGAACACAGCCATGCCACTGTTCCTCCTCCAGTGGCCCCACCATCGTATAATTATATTGGAGGAGCAGGAGCAAGCCCCCTGTCCATATCGTCCTCTATGGATGGTATGGAACTCAGTGCCGCTGACCCTTGTGAGCATGAATTAAGAAAATCAGGGGGGGATGTGAAGCTTGATTCGAAGTGTTACAGGGATGATTATCAAGTGGAGGCTTGTGGAAGGGGCCCATCTGCCCCTATTCATCCAAGATTGGCTGAATTAAAAAAACAAGAAAAGGACCAAGATCCTGGGGAGGGAGCATATGCTTTTCCGGTGTTGGAGGTGGCCAACCCTCATTGTGGTCAACGCACGGGACCCCAAGATGGTGACCCACTGGATTGTGGACCCACTGTTCTTGTGTGTGGGCCATGGACAGATGCAGAGATGCGGACTGCCTGTCGAGGTTTACCTCCAGCCAGACAGAACCCAGTTAAATGGTTCGAGGATGTTAAAAATAGATTGAGAAAATTCATGGCAGAAACAGGAAAGCCATGGGCAGAAAAAGAACAAGATGACATTGGCCCGCTAACTAAGTGGATGCTGAAGCTTTTCAGCGACAAAACTGTTCGGAAAACATGTAATCTGCCTAGTGCTCCTTTTGTTTCCCCACAGGAAGGCCTGAAGCCTGGAGACCGAGTGCTGATTAAAATCATCAAAAGGAAAACTTGGAAAGCTCCGAGGTGGGAAGGACCCTACAAAGTGCAACTAACAACCCCCACTGCCGTGAAAATCCAGGAGAGAAACACTTGGATCCACCAGAGTCATTGTAAACTGATTAAAAAATTTTCCTCAGCAAAAAAGCCCAGTTACTTTCACAGGGACCCCACCACTAAGGTATAGATCTGTGGTGAAGTCCAGCTTCAAAGGGGTTTGGTTTTTTTAGGACCAATCGTCTCAACGCTGGTGAAAAAAACAACCTAACCCAGTCTTTTGGAGTCCGGTTAGTGGGTGTTTCCTTGGACGGACTGGCAAAGATCTGAAACACCAAAGTGGTTATGCTGCCCGGTGATGACTGTTGGACCGGTGTTCCTAGGAACTCAAACTGACTGTCTGAAACAAAGGAAGAGCAGGATGATTTTTGATGGATCCACAGAAAATCATCCATACGGTGCCAATATGTGGTGGCAACATGCAAAACATGTTGCTGAAGATTTGAACAAAACAGACTGTTATGTTTGTACTCATATTCCTACTTCTATGAATACAATATGAATTGAAAGATGCTGATGTTTTTATGTATAAGAGGAGGGAAATGTTAGAGTGATAACTATCCTGTGTTTCAACCAGAAGGGTCATAAACTTTTATGACCTCCTGTAGGTCATGAGGCAGAATCACACGGCTGTGTGACTTCCATCCAGCCAGTTGGTCAATTCACACTATCTTGTTACCTGCATCCTCCCAGACAATGATTACTGGCTCTTCTGTTTTAGGCCCGCCTGTTTGATGTTGTAAACTGTTAATAAAAGGCTTTGCCATGAAGGGATCTGTGGGAGAAGGTGATGGCTTTCCAAGCCAGCATTCTTCTCTCCACCCGGCACACACTGACGTCACAAAACCCTGTCTCTGTGTTGATCATTTTCCTTTTAATCTTTTAAACTCACATTTCTCTGGATTAAAAACCCAACAGTCGCTCTGATCTTAAGGCTGAAATCTAAACAGAAAGCAGAAGTTCATTTTCATTTTTAACTGTTGTGACTTATTTCCCTCTCTGAGTCCCGTCCCTCCTCTCATGGCGACTCCCCAGACTTTCACTGTCTGGACTCTTCTACATCTGTAACCATCGTTGCCCCATCCATCATTATTCACCTGCATCAATCCCCACCAGCTGCCTTCTCAGCCTCTATATATACACTCCCCTCTTCCTGGGAATCCAACATCTTAATACAACCATCATACTTCATTCAACAAGTTATTACCTATCTTCTTCAGTTTCCTCCTGAAACTGAACCCTTGAAAAAAGATTTATTTCATATAATGATTAACTGTAACTGAATAAAACATAAATGCTGATAATGCTTGTTATATTGCGAACATGCTTGGTGTGAGTGATTGCTGTAGAGTCAACGACACAAAGAAAGTAAATGTCTACTTTTGCCAGATAATCCTCCAGTCAATAACTGGATGCAATCAGCTGGCTTTTCTTGAATAGAAAACTTTTACCTGGCTGGATGATCTCATTATTTGTCTCTGCAAAATGCTATGAGAGGACGTGTTGTAAATTGGTTAAAAAAAAGAATCGAAAAATATTAATTAGATTAAAAAAATGTTTTTCTTGTTATGCCCCTTTTCCAGCGGTTTCCCTTTGTCCTTGTTCTACTTTACCCTATCAAGAGTTTTGTTTGGTAGTAAATTCACCGTCATGTTATGTCCAGAGAATATCCTGCTGAGTTGCTCAGAAATTCCAAACACAATTGAAATTACAATGAATTTTGTTTGTCTCTCTGTTTTCTCCTCTGCGGTAGATGCAGCATTGTTCTTCCTGATCATTTCTTTGGTTTACCTAATAAATGCCCACATAACTGTAGGATAACCACATGTTTGGAGGCATTTTCTGAAAGGTTTGAGCTCTTAGGATGTTTCCTCTGCAACTGGGGAAACATTGACAGACCTCAAACCTAGAGTCCTTATGATAGAAAGTTTGTATTCCAGATGTAAGATAATGTAGATATTGGTCTGTATGTGTTTGTCTCTGGTAAACATCAGTATTACACTGAAAAAAAAAATCTAAAAATGTGTAAAAATGTCTTAAATTGAGTGTATTAACACTTAATTTGAGCAGATAAATAAGATGATTTGCCAATGGAGTGAGTATTTCACTCTTAAAATAAGGTAATTAGATATTATGCACTTGATATAAGACAATGCAATTGTTTTTTTCTTATTTTAAATGTAAATTGTCTTGTACTATTGGCAAAGTGTCGCACATCCGTAATTCAAGAGAAAATGCACTTATTTTAAGTAAAAATGACTTATTTAGATTTAATTGTTTGCAGTGTCTCTC